ATAATGTCAAATCATCTGTTCTTATCCGAAAACATTATAACTGAAGCCTATAAATACATGCCTAGGTCCTTCATTTAAAAGGATCTAAAATCAGAGGGCGACGTGCTGTCAAATTAAAGAGTGGAGCAAGAATTTCAAAGGAAGGCTAGCAGATCTTGGTAAACTTCAGCTTAATGAAGAGGCTATTCGAAGGATCTGAGGCCCGTTCCCTATTTCCTCCGGATCAAACTTGGTTATGATCTTGAGAAGGGTCGTAATCTCTCTTGGTCGGGATTATCACTTTTGTGATTGTTTCCTGTATGAAGAAAGAGCATTAATTAACTTTTCTATCAATTAGATCTGATCCGTGGCGGTCCACGGACTAACGCGTCCCCAGCACAGACAAAGATCTCACGCAAACAGCAGGTGATAAACATCTTCTGCGTCTGTTTGAAGAGAGTAATAATTTTTTTATTTTATTTGTGTAAGAGAGTAATCTTATAAAAAGATTAACTCTTTTGAATCTGTAATTGATAAACAATTGTAATGAATTCTACAAATAAACCAACTTTCACCCCAAACAACAGGTAGAAGACATGTGGACCTCTTGGCCACGGTTCAAACATTTCCCTTTGATAGGTCTCACCTTCGAGTTTGACCTCTTCTTCTTCGAATTCGATCAGTTCCTGTTTTGGTTCCCTCTATTATGACTTCTGCCTCTTTGCTTGAGACTTAGGGCTGAACCTGAACCTTCTGATTCATTCGATTTTCTTCTAACCTACTCGGATAGAACCATAGCTACCACCTCGTTCAGCTTCAACTTCTCCTTTCTCGCCGAGTTATTGATTATGATCACGCAACCTGCCAAACTATCCGGCAACTGCGAGTATCAATAGAGCCTACACTTCGTCATCAAACAAGATGTCGACTAAGATGAGTTGATCAACAATCGTGTTGAACTCATTGAGATGCATCGTGAAGGAACATCCTTCTACCATCTTGAGGTTGAATAGTATTTTAACGAGATGCACCTTATTTGTAGCTGATAGTTGCTCGTACATTGCTGTGAGCGCTTCCATAAGCCCCACCGTCGTTTTTTCCTTTAATATATTGTGTGCTACTAATTTTGCGAGGGCCAATCGGACCTGCCCCAGGGATTTTCGATCTAATATTTTCTTGTCCTCGTCAGATTCTTCTTTCTTCTGTCCTTTTGTTTTACTCATCAGCGGACGATAAAGATCCTTCTGATACAGATAGTCCTCCATCTGTGACTTCTAGTAGGTGAAGTCTGACCTGTCAAACTTCTCAATTTTAGATTTGTCTTATTCTACCATTTCTTACACACACAGATCTGAACAAGGACTCTAATACCAGTTGTTAGGGAATTCAAGCTACTCAACCACCTGTCAAATATGAATCCTCTGTGGAATTTATCCTACCGGATCTTGTATTAAGACAATAGAAAAAAGAAACCATAGCAAATAAAAAATTATAAGAAAAGGAGAACACCTAGTTTTAACGAGGTTCGGTAACTTGCCTACGTCCTTAGGAGCCACACAAATAATTTTCTTTAATATTAAAGAAGATTACAAGTTTGCAAAGAGTAGATCTCAAACTTGAGATCTCTCAAAAGAGAAGCAACAAAAACTATTAGTTCTTCTTTCAAGGCGTGAGATTTTACAACTTGTAAAATCTCTTCTCTTCTCAATAAATGCTACAAAAACGCTACAGGAAACAATAGGATTTTCGTCTGAAAATCTCAGCGCAAAATCACTGTGGAGAAGAAACTCTCAAAGCCGCCACCAAGCTCAATCTTCTTGAAAAATCGCCTCTGAGATTTTCTCCTCACTCAAAATCTCGTGCACAGGGCTTTTATAGGAAACCCTAGCTAGTTCGAGACAGCCTATCTTCAGTTATCCACGAGCTCGTCTGTGAAGAATCCCGCTCGAGCTCGCCTGCAATGAGTCCCGCTCGAGCTCGCCTGCAAGTCGCCCCTTCTCAAGCTTGCCTGTAGCCCGCTCAAGCTCGCCTGCAGCTGCATTGACAACCTCGCCTGAAGCTCGTCGAGGACCTCGCTTGCAGCCAGCGACTTCGATCTCGAACTTTCCTAACATCGTTGAGGTTGACCGCAGCCCAGACCTTGCCTAAAGAGCTCGCCTCGCCTGAAGGAGCTTAACCTCGCCAGGACTTCGAGCTCGACCTCGCCTGAGTCGGAGCTCGCCTGAAGGATCGCCAGATAGGTTTGAATCTACACCCATTTTCCAATAGAATTAAATTATTCGCGTATAGTACTCATCCTGAAGAATATAAACTCATACCAGTTGATGCAATTTTGACTCATCAGCTTGTGTAATATAGTACACAATATCATTTTTAAAGTCATAACTAATAGACTACAGAAAAATTCTTCCCCACAATTTCACATTTTTTCTTCGTCAATAACAGTTTTTATTTCCTTGCGATCAAGGAGGGGGGAAAAATAGCGAGATAGATATTGTATATTAAGAAAGAGCCTCGGGACAAATGATAGAGTGGCACTAGGGGCACACCCCCAACCACACCTCTAACCACACCCTCTCTCATTTGCTACAGTACACCAGGCCCCACATGAGATTTTAAAATTTTTAAAATTAAATATGAGGTCCGGTGCACTGTAACAAATGAGAGAGATGATGTGGTTGGAGGTGTAGTTGAAGGTGTGCCCATATCATTTTCACAAATGATATACTTGTAGAAGACATCTATTATTTTCAGCAAGAACATAAAAGGTGGTGATATGAATTGAGTGCTCCATGGCCCTAGATTTGATGTGATTGATTGACATGAGAAGCACTTGAGTTTGCCCCGGATAGTGAGCTTCTAGAAGAAATAAGTGTGTGCAAATATCGAAGAATAGGTTTGGTTAACATTCAAGGAGGATAGTGAGCTTCTAGAAGAAATAAGTGTGTGCAAATATCGAAGAATAGGTTTGGTTAACATTCAAGGTTGGCCATCAAAACCTTTCTCAAAAGACTGTGTGCAAATATCGAAGAATAGGTTTGGTTAACATTCAAGGTTGGCCATCAAAACCTTTCTCAAAAGACTTGAAAGTGTTGATTAAAGTCGTCATTAACAGTCCTAACAGATATACACGATGAGTTGTTTCAAGTCACCGTATTACCTGTTGACGATGGTTAAGTAAACAGTCAAATTTTTCGAGGATGAGATTGAAGAGGGACCACTCACTTCTTTGTATATCTGGTTTTGAGTAGAGTTGCTTTCAGTCTTCACAAAGCAGAAACTTGTGAGTGGACGGGGTTTAGTTCCCTTGTTGTATCTCCGACGATCAAGTCAGCTGGTGAACTTGAGTAGAGAAATGAAGAGTTGTGAGAGTTCATATGTGCAGTACAATATAATTAGCAGATATTCAGGAGTCAAAAAATCTAGATCATTTCAAAAGGAAGAATAGTACCTCCATTTATAGTGGTGATGGAAGAGTAAAATGGACACTTCGGCCAAGCACACAATGACGCTAAAGAAGTATGGGCTGGAGGCTGCGTTAGCCCAGCTGCGTTAGCACCTAATTTACACGTGCCGGTCGGCGAGTGGAGGAGAGATCACTTCAGCATTAAATGGGAAGTGATCAGCGACATGACGGTGTTGACGTGGTCCGATGAGTCATGAAGACTATCAGGTCTAGAGGTATGATGTGCTTGCCAAACATTAAATGCGACGCCGATGTGCTGTCAATGGGAGAGGCTCGAGGCTAAAGTCACCCTATGGCTTTGTCGAGAAGTAACGCCTTTCGAGTCGACCTCGCGAGGCATTGAATAACTAGTCGAGTGGGCTCGTTGCAAGTCATCTTCGACAAGAGGATCGACAAGTACCGTCTTTCGTGTCGACGTAAGGAGATGTCGACTCGACGAGTCAGTTATGTCAGGATCCTCGGTTGCTTCGACCGTCAATCTGACATGAGCGGTGCATGCAGGGGACACTTGTCCGTAGCTGACAAAGAGTCGTACTTTGCCGACTAAAAACACCATAACATTACCTATGCATCAAGTTGTAGGGCACGGCCCAAAATTTTGATAGGGAGGATGAATAGGAAAGCAAAGATGAAAATCTTATTTGGATTGAAATTTATATAGAACTTGAAGTTTTCAAACAAAATAAAACATCTCGCATGAAGATAGGGTTGTCCAAAAAGTCCATGACCCCGACCTGACCAGAAAAATCGGGCCAAACCGGATTGTGGATCTTGGTCTCTCTACTATAAACTGGCCTAGACGTGGAGATTTAAGCACTAGACATCTCTATGGGAGATTTAAAGCATACCAAATAGCCAAACCAATTTTGTGTTACATTTGGTGTGATTTCTATTATTATCCTATATTTATATATAGACCTCTAAGTATATATACTTATTAATATATAAGTATAATTATACATAAGTATGTTATATCAAAGTATATATATGTCTATCATATAAGTATAATATAAACATATAAAAACATATATAATTATGTAATACATTAATATGTATAAGCATAGCTATGGCTTTATATTATCACTACAAAAAATTACACTTTTCCCGACGCTTATTCCCGACGCATGGTTAAATACGTCGCCAAAAGTTATGTTTTTTCCGACGATTTTAGTTAGCGTCGACAAAACATATATTTTTCCCCACGTTTATAAATAGCGTCGCTAAAAGTGTATATTATTTGCGACGTTTTAACTTAGCGTCGGTAAAAGTGTATGGATTTCCCGACGTTTATTTCATTTTCGTCGGCAAAAGTATAGCTTTTAGCGATGTAAAAATATTCATCGCAAAAAAATATACATTTGACGACGCACGTTAGCATCGGCAAAAGTGTAGCTTTTAGTGACGAACAATTTTGCGTCGCTAAAAATAAACACTTTTGTCGACGCTATATAGCGTCGGCAAAAGTATAGCTTTTAGCGACGCAAAATTATTGCGTCGCTAAAAGCAATACTTTTATCGACGCTTTATTATTCATGTGCGTCGCTGAACCCATCACCACCTCTTTTTTTATTTCTCCGCATACTTTTTATTTCCTCCCCCTCTTTTTTCATTTCCCTCTCCATCTAAAACGGGCTAACAATCGGCGAAGAGGGCGGCGTCGCCCCCTTGGGCTCGGCGATCGCGTTGCTCGCCGAGACCGAGGCCGAGATCGAGCAGGCTAGGTCAAAGGCCCAATCTTCCTCCTCCTCATCCAAAACCTTAGATTCAGATTCCCCTCCTCAGTCGGGTAATCCAGGTGTAGATGTCTCTTCTGCTAGTAGGGTTGATGAAGACGACAAGCTTAAGGCATTAATTGAAACGCCTGCACTTGATTGGAGCCAGTGAGAAACTTGTGTTGATTGATTTCTAAGTTGATCTGCTTATTAAATTGTCTTAAGTTATTGTTTAAGGTGACATGAACCACAAATCATAGCAATAGTTCTTCATTGTAATTCTGCTTTGAAAAGTACTATCTTCTAATTGGACCATCTGGCATTTCAGTCAAGGACAAGATGACTTTGGCGGTAGAGGCTTTGGAAGAGGCTTTGGGAGAGCGATGATGCCTGGTCGTGGCTTCGGTATACCTTTATGCTCTTCATATGTTCTCTATTATTTTTGGTTTCCTTATCTTGTTGTCATCGTCAGATTAATTTCTTTTTTATCATTTTTTTCATTTTGGTGTGATTATTTCCAGTATAAGATTCTTGTAAATTGGTCATGCAAGACAAGGCTATGACTATCTGTTAATCGCTAGGCAAAGACTTAGGTCCATTGCTTTGCTTGGTCATGCAAGACAAGGCTATGACTATCTGTTAATCGCTAGGCAAAGACTTAGGTCCATTGCTTTGCCTTCAAGTAATATATATTAAAATAATAAATTGAGAACTATTAGATAAATATGAAGTAATGAGTGATAAAATTATTATTATCTTGATGTTAATGCTTTGGATCGGATAATTCAGAACATTGCGATTGTTGATTTCATGCGTGTCTCAAGTGCGTGTCAATTGAGGTACATAACTCACTTGTATACCGAAAGCTGGGGGTATAAAGTCTGAGTAGATGATGAATTTAATGGATGGTTGTGACAAGTAATGGGTGGTGCTTTCCCTCTTTCATTGGATTGTGTTGTGCATCCAACTCATCATTGATTTACCTTGGATGTAGTTTACTGTTTGACAATGGTTCTACAAGTGATGAGTTGTTTATGATGTGCTTGCAGTGATTGGTGTTTGATATGACTGTTTGACAATGGTTCTACAAGTGATGAGTTGTTTATGATGTGCTTGCAGTGATTGGTGTTTGATATGATCTAGGAGCAGAGTAAATAATACTCATGCACACTTGTTTATTGAACACACTCCAATCAACCTGAAGACCTATTTTAGAAATTGTTAGCATTTGTTCTTTTGTCTTGGCTTGTATTCAGCAGACATTGTAGTTCCCCTTTCAAATATGCACTATCTAATTGGTACATCCAGCTTTATGTTATTGTCCATTGCTTTCTTCCCTATTTTCTGACAATTTGCTAATTGGTTGAAGGTCGTAGTGGGTTTGAAAGGAAGACACCTCCTCCCGGATACATCTGTCACCGATGCAAAGTTCCTGGTATGCTGATGCTGTTGGTTTATTTGACTGATTAATCTTTTCTTGGCTAGGTATGTATGCTTATTGTGGTCTGAATTTTCTGTCTCTAGGCCATTTTATTCAGCATTGCCCTACAAATGGCGATTCAAATTATGACGTTAGAAAGGTTAAACCACCTACTGGTATCCCAAAGTTATGAAAGACGTTGCATTAACTATCAAATGCTGCTTCAGGAGCTTCTGTGACAAGTGTAAGTATGATGTATGAAATTTTATTCTATTGTGGTAGGTTTTTAAAAAAAGATGGATATTAAACGTTGTATTCTTTATGGACGAATTAGTTAGAATAATCTACAATCATTTGAAATGTTAGGAGATTATTTCATAATTTAAGCATGGAAAGCTTTATGCAAGATGGATATTCAGTGTTTTATACTTTATGGACTCCTCTTGTTTGTCATAGGTTCATTTACAAATAGTTTTCTGAGTCTTTTCACATATGTTACATGGTGCTCTCATTGTTATTTAGTTGCTTACACTTTTTTGTGCAGTCAGTTGATATTTCTTTTTATTCTCTTGGCATCAGTTTAATTTAAGTTATTTTCATTTCATAGTGGTGACTGTTAATGATTATTTGGCACAACGTGATGCTGAGTGGATGGGTCAAATTCATTGCTTCCTTGGCCTTTCTGTTGGTCTCATACAGGTAAGCTGCAGTTTTATGGGTATCTGCCATCTTAGGTTTGATCCCTCTACCTAGTTGAACTAAGTTGGCAAACCATGTACAAATTTTCTTGCCAAGAAACATTTTCATTGACTTTATTTAAATATTGTTTAATTGTAGAGGGGCATGGATGCTGCAGAGAGAAGATCCAACTATAATTGTGACATAACATATATAAACAATTCGGTATGTTCCTGATACTCATGATATTCACCTTAGTTAAAAAAAATGTTTTCCAAGATAGTCATTGAATTGGCATTTATATTTATTTGCACATGTGTACATATCTATTGTTACTATCATTTGCTTGATCTTCGTTTAATATGTTTATGTTTTTGTCTCAATGAAGAGGATATATGTTGTCTGAATCTATATTTGTAACATGTTGTATGCAGACAAGCTGCTAATACACATGAATTTCACCTTGGTTTTATCTGTTTTTTAAGATACTGTATTAAATTTCTTTCAACATTTATGTTTGTATCACGTAGGCATATGCGTGGATTGTAACATTTGCTTGGTCTTCACAGGATGTATCATTTTAAGTACATAATTTGCTTGTTATATACATATTCACAAGATGTATTTTGGTCAAGGTATTAATTAGTTTCTTTACATTTCAGTTAGTTTTTTAGTTAGTATTTTCCTCTTCAAGGTATTCATAATTTTGTAGCAAGTATGGATTAATTATGATTTAATTGTTTCTAAAAGTGAGAATCTACAGTTTGTTATATATATTTTATCTCATAGTTAGTTGAATCTTGCAAGCTTTCCACTAAAAGGCTATCTCAAAACTAGAGTACATAACCTTCTTGTTTGAAAGATAACATGGTGAGAAACTAATTCAATCATTTGTTATTAGATTTTTATACATTCACTAAAACTTCATGTCTGAAAATTTTTTAAACTTTATATTAATTTATTTGTAAGGTATTTTTCACGTTATGATACTCTTTTTTGTGTTTGATTTTAACTTTTTATTTGCCTTACTGAGTACATTTCTTTCCATTGCAACTACACAACAGAAGTTGGAGATGGATGGTGAAGCTGGGAAGAAGAAGCCTGAGACGTGACGAAGAAAAGGCTTGCAACGTTGATAAGACATGGGTTCTCTGTAGTCTTTATTGTTCAAGTTTACTTAATCATGATTGTTGGATTTGTTAATAAAACATGTGTCAAATACTTGTTATTTTTTTAAGAGAATTGTGTTTAAATTTATTTACTAATGTTATTATTTGTTTTATTTTAATGATTGTGAAAATAAGTACTGATATTATTTTAGCTGTTAATATGCAACTTGTTTGGAGCATAATTTGATGTTTGGTTTCTTTGTTGATGTGAATTGGACCAAATTTGTTGTGGATATTCAGATTCAGTGTAGTTGACAGAAAATATAATACTTCTAGCGATGCAAATTAGTGTCAATAAAAATATACTTTTTACCAACTAAAAAAAAAACTTTTGTTGATGCTAGATTACGTCGCCAAAAATAATATCTTTTAGCGACGCTATCTTGCGTCGCCAAAGGTATAGTTTTTAGCGACGCTTTATTCTGCGTCGCTAAAAGCTAAACTTTGGCCGACGCTAACTAGCGTCGCCAAAAGTATAGTTTTTAGCGACGAGCAATTTTGCGTCGCTAAAAGCTATACTTTTGCCGACGCATAGCTTTTACCGACGCTGCATGCGTCGCCAAAAGTACACTTTTGCCGACGCAAAATATTATGCGCCGCTAAAAGATATACTTTTCCCGACGCATGACGCGTCGCCAAAGGTGTACTTTTGGCGACGCAGTGTATTTGCATCGCCAAATACTTTCCTTGACGCACTTTTGACGACGCGTTAGCAACGCTGCATTTTCAGCAAATAGATATTGTATATTAAGAAAGAGCCTCGGGACAAATGATAAACTTGTAGAAGACATCTATTATTTTCAGCAAGAACATAAAAGGTGGTAATATGAATTGAGTGCTCCATGGCCGTAGATTTGATGTGATTGATTGACATGAGAAGCACTTGAGGATAGTGAGCTTCTAGAAGAAATAAGTGTGTGCAAATATCGAAGAATAGGTTTGGTTAACATTCAAGGAGGATAGTGAGCTTCTAGAAGAAATAAGTGTGTGCAAATATCGAAGAATAGGTTTGGTTAACATTCAAGGTTGGCCATCAAAACCTTTCTCAAAAGACTGTGTGCAAATATCGAAGAATAGGTTTGGTTAACATTCAAGGTTGGCCATCAAAACCTTTCTCAAAAGACGCGAAAGTGTTGATTAAAGTCGTCATTCAAGCAGTCCTAACATACACGATGAATTGTTTCAAGTCACCATATTACCTGTTGACTATGGTCAACTAAACACTCAAATTTTTCGTGAGTGAGATTGAAGAGAGGCCACTCATTTTTTTGTATATCTTGTTTTGAGTAGAGTTGCTTTCAGTCTACACAAAAATAGAAACTCGTGAAAGGACGTGATTTAGTTCCCCCGTTGTATCTCCAACGATCAAGTCAGCTGATGAACTTGAGTGGAGAAATGAAGAATTGTGAGAGTTCTTATGTGCAGTACAATATAATTACCAGATATTCAGGAGTCGAAATGTCTAGATCCTTTCAAAAGGAAGAATAATACCTCCATTTATAGTGGTGATGGAAGAGTAAAATGGACACTTCGACCAAGCACAAGATGGCGGTGAAGAAGTATGGGCTGGTGGCTGCGTTAGCACCTAATTTACACGTGCCGGTCGGCGAGTGGAGGAGACATCACTTCAGCATTAAATGGGAAGCGATCAACGATATGGCGGTGTTGACGTGGTCCGATGAGTCATGAAGGCTATCTGGGCTAGATGTATGATGTGCCTGCCAAACATTAAATGCGACGCCGATGTGCTGTCAATGGGAGAGGCTCGAGGCTAAAGTCGCCCTATGGCTTTGTCGAGAAGTAACACCTTTCGAGTCAACCTCGCGCGGTGTTGAATAACTGGTCGAGTTGGCTAGTTGCAAGTCGTCTTCGACAAGAGGATCGACAAGTACCGCCTTTTGTGTCGACATAAGGAGATGTTGACTCGACGAGTCGGTTATGTCAGGATCCTCGGTTGCTTCGACCGTCAATCTGACTTGAGCGGTGCATGCAGGAGGACACATGTCCGTAGCTGGCAAAGAGTCGTACTTTGACGACTAAAAACACCATAACATTACCTATGCATCAAGTTGTAGAGCACGGCTCAAAATTTTGATAGGGAGGATGAATAGGAAAGCGAAGATGTAAATCTTATTTGGATTGAAATTTTATATAGAACTTGAAGTTTTCAAACAAAATAAAGCATTTCGCATGAAGATAGGTTGTCCAAAAAGCCCATGACCCCGACCTGACAACAAATTTTGTGTTACGTTTGGTGTGATTTCTATTATTATCCTAAATTTATATATAGACCTCTAAGTATATATACTTATTAACATAGAAGTATAATTATACATAAGTATGTTATATCAAAGTATATATATGTCTATCATATAAGTATAATATAAACATATAAAAAACATATATAACATATATATATATATATATATATATATATATATATATATATATAGGAATATGGGTATGCTTGGTAGTGAGGTGGGATATTATCCTCCACTCATTCAAATGGGGGGACCACATTCACATGGGTTGAATGTGGTCCCCCAATTGAATGAGTGGATGAGAATGTGACACCTCATTACCAAGCACAAAATTTGTGCTTAGTACCAAGCATACCCATTTTTCTCATATGTATGATGAATATGGGTATGCTTGGTACCAAGCACAAAATTTGTGCTTGGTAGTGAGGTGGCATATTATCCTCCACTCATTCAAATGGAGGGAACACATTTACATGGGTTGAATGTGGTCCCCTAATTGAATGAGTGGATGAGAATGAGACACCTCACTACCAAGCACAAAATTTATGTTTGGTACCAAGCATACCTATTTTTCTCATATATATGAGGAATATGAGTATGCTTGGTACCAAGCACAAAATTTGTGCTTGGTAGTGAGGTGGCATATTATCCTCCACTCATTCAAATGGGGGGACCACATTCACATGGGTTGAATATGGTCCCCCCAATTGAATGAGTGGATGGGAATGAGATACCTCACTACCAAGCACAAAATTTGTGCTTGGTATATATATATATGAAAATGTTTTCCTAAGGTGACACCTTAGATTCCTACCTAAGGATGCAGTCTAAAATCATATTATTTCCTTTTTTTTTTTGCGATCCGCTCCGTTGAGATTGATCTACACGTTCTTAGACCCAAACACACCAATTTTGGGGTGAGCCTGTCGTGTTTTGACCCTTCATCCACTCACCGTAATTTTAACGGTTTTGAATGAATAGAACTTTTTGCACGGCTCAACGAATGGTCAAAACACGACGGATTCACCCCAAAATCGTTGTGTTTGGGTTTAAGAACGTGTAGATCAAGTTCAATGGAGCGGAACGCAAAAAAAAGGAAATGATGTTATTTTAGGCCGCGTCATTAGGTAGGAATCTAAGGTGTCACCTTAGGAAAACATTACCCATATATATATATACTTATAAGTCACATTTTTTTTGCAAGAGTTTTGCAAAACAATTATAACTTTTTGAGAAATAAAGGAAAAGAAAAGCCCGGTCGACTAGATGCCCAGCTCGAAACTGTGCCCTCCCTTGGATTGGTGCTCGGCTAGATACACTCGGGTTCTGGTTCGTGTCCGGGCAGGGTCTTTTGCATGGCCTAAACCTAGATTTCCAGGTCGGCCTAGATGGACACCCCTATTAGGAGGGTATGTCATGGAGCAATAACGGTTCAACAAGCTTTGCAATGAAGGTCATGATAATAAGGAAAGTAGTTGGATTTGCAGATATGCGAAGAATTTTATCAAGCGTGTGTTCTATCTTTATCCAATGGCAGATCCAAATGGGGCAAAGTGGTGTCATGTGACACTGCTTTGCCCCAAGACCCCTTAATGTTGTTGGTGGGTTTCTGAACATCTAAGGTGAAAAAATATAAAAAAGTGAAATTATGATTTCATCTTATGGGACATCAAGCATAGTTTTGAGTTATATCTTCTAAACATAGTGGCCACTCTATTATTCTAACTAATCTCCTCCACTATGAACTTGTAGCTGTTTTGACTGTTGAAATTTGATGAAGTATTTGCAAACATGTCATTCCTTTTCAAAAATTTTGTCATCAATATAATATATTAATATGGTTAACTATCAAATAATTGCTGATACATGATCTAGTTTGTATTTGAAGCTAATTTAAATTATATTCAAACAATTATACTCTTATAATGTATTGAGAAAAATGTATTTGATGATGTTAGTAATGATGTGACTATGTATCATTTCAGAATATGAAAACTCATCCAGAATAATTGTAATTTTTAAACATTAATTATGTAGAGACACTGTTTTTCAGAAATTCTAGATCCGCCATTATCTCTATCCTTTTTCACATCTAGTACAGGAAATTTCTAGGATTGTGTTTCATGGTGAAATGAGGGACGGTAGTAGTATGATATACTAGTGGCCTAACTTAGAAGAGAGGTTGGGTCCAAAAAGCTTCAAGCTAGTCATTATTATATGCTGCCTTCTGTAAAAAAACCAAAATGAAATAAAATTACAAGTGTATCCTCGATCGAAGGTGGAGGAAGTCATGCGCGGGGCTAGAAAGTACAGGATATTGTTGCTGAATGCGCAGGAACAGTATATTGGTTTCTACTGTAGTACCAACGATGTGAATGCCTTCATTCATAAGTTATTGGAAGGTGAAATTTGACAGAAATGTATTTTCAGAGAGGGAAGCGATGGGAGTGGGTATAATCGTGAGGAACTACGCAGGTAAGTTCTATGCGGCCATGTACAATGTTATACGGATAAGAGATAATGCTGAGCACGCTGAATTTCAAGCGACGTGAGGAACTGTAGCATTCGCTCTCAGCATTGGATTTTGGAAAATACTTTTCAAAGGACTTTTCAAAGGAGATGCGGAGGCGGTAATTAGACATAACCAAAATAGAGCGGAGCAACACTCCATTTTCAAACATTTCGTTGATGATATTCAACATTGGGTACACATTTCGAGGAATGAAATTTTCCGATAGTTTGTCGAATGGGGGAATGAAGCAATTCATGTTTTAGCTCGAAAAGCTAAGGAAATTGATTATTTATGTAATATGGCTCGAAGACCAGTGTTTGATCCAAATTCTTTGTTGTTTTTGGGG